GGGGGGGGGGAGGAGGGGAAAGGAATACATGATAAGGACTCCTCGGAGCTACTTACCTCGTAATTTTCGGTCTTGGCACCTGGTGCACTTGTTTCCATGCATAAAGCAGGCAATGTCTTACAGGAAATCCACACCCGACAATTTTACAGAACGTCTCATTGCGCCCCTCGCATGGTCCGCGTGGTTTCATTGGTCCTTTTTTTAAGTTTCCCCCTCTTGTTCCTCTGTTACGTCACCGTCTTGGCAACGGCTAGCTCGTTCACGACCTGAAGAACAACCATAACATTTAAACACGCTAGGCCAAGCAAATTCCCTTATACCCCCTCGCATTCCCGTTGGTCTGGACACACTTCATCCTTATCAATACACTGGCATTGCCACGGGGTGTCCAGCCTCGTTTTTGTTGTCATTCTCTCCGGCCGATGTCGGCGGACTCGGGGGCACTCCTGGGATTAACCCCTGCATCATGATCCTCGTCCCTCCCCCATATTACTACCACGCCCGGGCAACTCACAACTCCTATTTTGCGCATGTTCTTTCTAAGATAGTGTCAGGTGTACCCGTGCCGGGTTAGAAGTTTGGTGAGGGACGACTTGATCGTTTTTGTCCATCGCTATTTCCCGGCGCCCACACAACGTGTAACCCCCCTCACTCTTTGGGGATCGAATCATCGATGGCAACCCTTTCGAAGGAGGACTTCATGGACGAAGACCTCGACTTATCGGGTTTGGATGAAGACTTGTTCATTGGTTTGATGGGTGAAGGGGAGGGAGTGAATACTTTCATGCTAGACGACGTCAGGGAGGATGGCCTGACATGTCCGTCGGTGGTGGATGATTCGCCTTCCCCTTTCACTGCTGTCTCTGCGGCGGTAGCCACGAGTTTCAAGGCGGAATGCATGGATGACGATCAATCGAGCCATGTGCACGGGGAGAGTTCAGCAGAGGCGTTTGACCTGGGCGTATTACCGGAAAGCATCCATGCGCAGCAGCAGGATGGAATTATTCCGGAGCAAGAAAACCAATCAGGACTCAAACGAAACGCCCATCCGCGAAAACTATCAGACACTGGCTCTTTATCCTCACCGCACGCACAACAATCCCCCCATTTCCGGGGCCAGCCCCTCCCACGGCGATGGCCGGAGCAAGACGAGGCATGTCGGCAAGGGAGGCCGGCCCTCGCTCCCCTCCTACCCAAAGGGGCCGCCTGCACCAAGCGGCCTTTACCCCGGAGCGACAGCCATACCCGCAGTGGTGGTAGTATAGGGAAGGGAGAGAGCGACGGTCGACGCGTCGTGAAAAGCGAATCTTTCCGATCTGGGAGGCCGCCACCTCTCTCGTGTTTTATGGGCCCCGGGGCCGATTGGGAAGGAGGGGAGCGTTCGGGAAAACTCCAAGACGCGAAAATGGACCGTCACACTCTCAAGCGCCCTGCCTTGGAAGACATCAGGAGCACGCCTTCGTCCTGCTCCTCCTCCACCTCCACCGGCAGCAGTCACAGCCGCAGTGGTGGGAATGAGGACGCGGAGCTCACCTCCGCCTTGGCGGCTCTGGAACGCCAGGGCTTGGCGCCACAGGAACTGAAGAAACAGCGACGCTTGATCAAGAACCGGATGGCGTCCCAGCAGCACCGGGAGCGGCAGAAGCAGCAGCTCGAGCACCTGCAAGCCTCCTTGGCGGCGAAGGAGGAGGAAATCATGGCCTTGCGGGTAGAGAGGGACGTGCTGCGGACAGCCAACGGCGAAATGAAGAAAGAATTGGGCAGCCTGCGTCATGCG